ATTTCGTTCCATCTTCTGTGTACTCATAATTTTGTATAAAATTAAAATATTATTAAATATTATTTAATAAATGTAATTTTTTATTTAAAAAAATATTTATAATTTTCTGAGTTAAATAAACGACCTAAGTCCAGTAACAATAAAAAACTAATTAAAAAATATTTATTAATTTAATAAGTAACAATTCTTAAATTTTAAATTCTTAAATAACATTTATTATTTACTTACTCAGTAACTTTTATTATAAAGTTACTGAGTAAGTCATGTATTCAAAATATCACGCTACATATGAATTGTCAATTATCAAGTGATCCTAGTCTAGTCTTGCCTAGTAAAGTCCTTAATTTTTTTTAATAAGTGGAAATCATTCTTATTTCATAAAGGACTTCAACCCATAAAAACACCTCTTAGAAAAGGAATGTGAAAACATTGCCATCATCGGTCCATATAAAATTATAATCAAAATATAATCAAAATTATAATCAAAATTTCATTAATTTAACAGAGACGGGAGAGATAAATTCGTTTTATATTCAATAAACTGCATTTTGTTAAACTCGGATGCAGTGTTTAAAGACAAATATAGTGAGTTATGAGAGTTAAGGCAAATAGTGGAAGTAAAGCATGAAGTTAAAGTTAGAGTAGTAGGTAGTACAACCGAGATCTCCGAAATAATGCTTGTAAAGTGGAATGAATAAGCAAATAGAGCCCAATTTCGCTCAAGTATACCATATACACCAAAATAAACAAGGGTCAAAGTACCACCAACAGAGCAATATAAAAAGTAACCGTGGGTATTTGGTACATATTTGAATAAAAACTGTCTTTATTGAAAATCAGTTTCAATTAACTATGAATTGATTAATATAACATAATATATATATTATAAATACATATTATATTAATATTATTATTATTTATAATGTCTTGCCGTTATTGATAAATAACAATAGGTGACGATAATACTCATATTCCACAGTGTTAGAGTAAATACATGTACATGTATTATTTCAAAGTTATAAAAAATATTTAACATTTTTCGATCATTGATGATCAGTACGATGTCAATTTTCGGGTAACTTCATTATTCAATCGCTATAGAACTTTTGAGGTTTATCTGCGGAAAACTTGGCAAAGTGAATTTTAATAGCTTTCCTGTCATTGAAGTTTTTACCATTAAGAGAGATTTGTAGAGATCCAAATAAATGCTTCGAATCATCAAAGATCTGTGTGGCTTGGCAATGTCATGATAAAACTCAAGTTCTTTTATACAATTCTTTTCTATTTTTTTATACTTTTTTACTGTGAGCAGTAAAAGACCGAATAAACCTTTACACCTGGGCGGAGCAACTCGTAATAAACAATTCCTTTTCAATTCCATTAAACACACAACATAACCTTGTTTATCATCAATCCAGGATATGAAGTTGTTTCTAAAAAGTCACCGGTCAACCTCAATGATTCGTTTTAGTCAATGTAATCTTCGTAGCCTATCTTTTTTAAATTATTTTAAACTTTCATGTGGTTGATGTTTAGATCCTCCACCATTTTCTGACAACTTCAGTGTCGGTCTTGCTTTACCATTTGCAAAATTGCTTAGATTTTTTTCTAGTGACTGGACGAGCAGAGTGAGGTGCATCTTTGACAATAAAATTTTCGGATTATAATCGAGCAACTCACTTTTGGGTTCGTTGTTTACTCACAGCATCTTCACCTTAAAACGAACAAATTTTACAGCCTGTTTTTGCAATACTTTCACATTTTTTCTTGTAGTAAAACTAATTTTTATATAAGTTACGCTAATCGGATGCATGTATCTGTTATATACAATTATATACATAAAGTACATAACGGTTTTATTATGAATTTGTCGATTTCTGTCATTATTTCTTCTGTAAACGATTTTTATTGATTTTAACTTTTATATACACAATAACAATTGTAATTTATTTTTTATATAATAAATTAAAACTTATTTATATAAAAAATCATTTATTGTTGTTAAATATAATTATTTGAGCGGACCTATTATATTGCGATGCTTTTATCACCTTATTATTTCTTAAACTTCTATTTATCAGTTTTAAGAATTTGTTAAAAGTTATTAAAGTTAACCTATCTTATGTCTTAATGTGATTACAAGACATCGTATCTAGCTGTAAATAATTGATACTTCTAATCATATCCTTTCTAATTACTTGTCTTTGTTCAATGCAGGAGTATGATACTATTTTAGAAAATCCTCAATAAACAACATTCTAGCTTTCATTCGAAAGGCTCAGTATTTTTAATTCGATTAGAGTTAGTTATTGCAAGAAACTCCTGGTATGATCTCTATGTTCTGGTCAACTGGAAGCCATATTCTAATTAAACTATTATTTCTTATTAGGATTTTTATTTCATCATAATCTAATCTTACTATTCTATTGCTTTTTCTATTCACCACTACGCGGTTAACTAGTTCACTTCATGATACTCAACATTTTCCTATTGGTATATTTTTGCGAGTAAATATTCCTGAAATAATATCCTTATGTATAAAAATTATTAACCATTCTTTATTTGATTATATTTACAAATTTGAATATCTTTACAAATTGAGGTAATGAATAATCGAATCAGTAGAAACATGTAGCTTTTACTTATATACACTGTAAACTGAAGATGAAATATCAATTTTAAGTTTATGGGTGCATAGGGTCTGACTTTCTTTTAAAAATTTTAACAATGCACAATTCATACCCTTATCTTACTTTAATTCTGTATTAAAAATTGTTAATGAAATATTACTGTTTTATGTACTTCCTTTCTTTCTTGCAATATCAATGATTGGATAAAAAAGTACAAGTCTTCTATAAGTCTTACTTCGTTATTTACCTTATAACTATTAGTGATAGTCATAATACTATCACTAAAAGTGTATTGTATATTCATATTAAAAAGTAATCAATATACTTGAAGGCAGCATTTGTTTGGCTGTGTCAGTTTCTCAATCCAATAAAATAATTTCAACACTCAGATTATGCCCAGGATATCAATTATTATATTTGATTAAAGCATTGTATATATATGCAGTATATCAAATCTCATATCGATTTCTTTAATTATGATCGGGATTTAATATGATTAATTTCATATATCATCTATGATATCTTAAGTCCTGAATCAAGAAATATGATTAGATTTAATACAAGCCTTAAGGATTTAATATGATTAAATTCATATATTATCAGTGGATATTATATATATATGTCTATTTTAATGAACTAAATGAGGTCTTGAGTGCTGAACCAAGAGATATTGTTAGATTTATTACAAGCCTTAATTTATTTTGGTTAGCGAAAGATACTTTCTCCAGGATAACATAGTAGATATCAAAGGTCATGATGTATCATTGTCTTTTCTATTAATAAAAATAACTCTTTGTTTAAGGTTAGGTGATGGGGTTATAAACATTTTAACAAGTTCAAATTTGATGGTTGGCATACGAAATTTACTCAACCAAGATTTTGTAAGTTTGTTTAATTTAGTAAGCCAGGATATTCAATTAATAATGATAGATTTTAACATTCTTTACCTTTGTTAACAAATCGATAGCGCATCGATTCGATTATTAGATACGGATTGGATCAAGCACAACAAAATATACTAGTATATGTATAAAAACAGTATGTTACTCATTTTTTTATAGATATATATTCTTGTCTTATCTAATTTTTTTTTTTAATTGATAAATTCATTTTGATCGATTTTTACTTTGGAAGCATAAATGACTCACTCTTATCTAAAAGCAAAAATAATTTTGAAAATTATTTGACAATATACCCAGAATATATTTATTTAATATTTGATGTTACCTTTTAAGAGTCTAAAAAGCTAACATATATGCAGACAGAAGATCTTGTGAATATTGTGCTCAATATGAAGTATAAGTTCGTTGAGGAGCACTGCATTTATTCAATAATTTTTATTCTATTTTAATTTATCAAAATATTGCAAACAAAATAAATATATTTCAATGAATCAATAACATGGGATTCATGTCCATTTAAACAGTTCCACTTATACTCATCGTAGGAATCCTGTTTTTTAATTTAGTTTCGAACTAACATTTTTGATGAATGCGGTAAATTTGGCGGTCTGACTGTGTCGATCATTGAATGCTATCAGTAATTCTGACAACTTTTTGCTGTCGATCAAATTCACAAAAACGTTTTACGTTTTACGAAATCCGAAAACCAAATGCTAAACAACACCACATAGCGCACTTGTCAATTTTTACGAATGAAATGGAATGGAATTCATATCAATTTAATTTCGATCGATCTTGCTTTCAGTTGGAAACTGACTTTTCTAGAAAGATCAGTTAAGATCACGTTAAAATATCAGATCGCCAGATTGAAGTATTGTGCACGTTTTAGCATTAAGCGTTGCTTGATTCCACTTACTTGTGAACCGTTTTCAAGTTGAAGTTTCCTTGCCAGTTTGCGCATGCTGCTTATAGATAGATACCAACAAATGATGCCAAATAAACAGAAACTGAGTTTCAATCTCAATCTCCGTTTCAGTCTCAGTCTCAGTTGTAGTCGAAGTTGAATCCATAGTCGTATATCTCTGTGTGTATGTAAATATTTTCGATGATGTTTTTTATTCTTGTGGTGAGGTTATTTTAAGGTTTTGATTTTATTGAATTTCTTCTTCTTCATATATTACTTGTTTTTATCTTGTATTGTTAAAGATTTAAAGTGTTTATGATTGATTGCTTATTTGTGAATTGAATGAAGTGAAGTAACATATTTTGATATGAAATATTTTGTTCTCCGCTGCCTTGTTAAAACATCATCAGTTACATTCGATGAAATACAAATACTGTTTATGGCTTGCATAACGAATTAATCATACGAGTATTTAGAAATAAAAATTAATTTAACAATGAAATTAAACATTTTTAGACGTTTTGTTTATTTGTCTGTACTTATTACTTATTATTACTATTTCAGGGGCGCGTTTCGCTCAGTCGTGGTGTTTCAATGGAGCAACGTTTGCAGGATATTGCAAATTTCTTCAATCCAATACCTAGCATGGGTGTTGTTGGCGGTGTTTCCGACATGGGTGGCTACCCTCATTATCCAACTCATCCATACTCATATCAGGGTGCAACTGGCATAACTGCACCTCCTCAACACAGTCAATATCCACCGCCACCACCACATCACCATGGACACCATACAATGTTACATCCAAATGCTACTCTTGGTGATCTTTGCTCAAATCAGCCACACTATGGACACAATTTAGGCTCTGCAGTTACTTCAAGTATGCATCTAACTAATGCCAGTCATGATGCCGACCTTGGTGCGGGCGCTACTGGTGGTTCAAGTAATGCAGGTCCATACAAAATGGAGCATGACTTGATGTATTACGTAAGTCCTTTTCAAATGTTTTTTTTTATTATTTAAATTATTAATTAAATTTTATATTTTACAACTTTTTGAATTTTAGAATGTCTCTTCTGATATAAATCATACTACTGATGGTTTTATTAATTCTATTTTGAACGATGAAGATTTACATTTAATGGATATGAATGTCACTGACAGTAAGTACAAGTCAAACTTTTTTTAATTAATTTGATATTAATTTGATATTACACATAAATTCATATATTCTCACCTGATGAAAATTTTAAATTGCCTTACAAATATTAAAAGTATTTACTTATATTTTCCAAAGTGTTTCAATTTTGACAGAAGTAATCAAAGTTTATCTAACTAAATAGGGGAAGAACCATGTTATATAGAGTGTCATGGGCTCATCATGACTAAAATTTAGAGAAAAAACAATTTGGCCATAAGAGCCAAGGCTATCTGCGCCTCGTCGCTTAGACAAAACAGTGTTATTCAAGAATAAATGTCAACATTTGTATCTTTTAGAAGCAAATTGTTACAATTTCTGTGAAACTCTGCATAATATGCATTTTCGTCAAATCCAAAAAGACACAATTTTGACGAGTCCATGATATTCTACATAACATGGCCTAAATGGATACAGTACTTATTTTATTTTAAAATAGGTTGCTTATGAAAACTGTAATTATTGTTATCGCGGCATATCACACAAAACAGTAGTTATTCTGTAAAGCAGGAATATGCATATATAACAAAACAAAACAAGGCAATTTCTGGTTAAACTATCTAGGAAATAAGATCCAAATTATGTGGAAGTGTATGAATGATATTGAGTGGGAGAATAGAATGCTATTGAAACTAACGTGAGCTGAGGTGCAAGAACTTTATCGCTTCATTGGGACTTGGGAGTTGTAAGTTTGTGTGTGAAGTACGACAATTAAACAGAGTATAAGAAGTACAATTACAATTACAGCATAGATGGGGAATAAATGTGTTAATACCTATCAACTAAGACGTGACTGTATTCCGACTGGGATTTAAAACAGTTCTTGCTGCACGTAGTAAGCGTCTTTAATCCTTATAGATTTCGGGCAGTGGATGGCATTGAAGAAAGCTATAAACTATGTCGATATTTGACATTGATGTTGTTTCCATTGCAATAGCTTTATATATTCAAGATACAAAGAAATAAATCTTGTTAATAAATTGTGATCTCATTTGATAACTTTATTTATTATAGGTGAGCTTTAAAATAATTAACTGTATTGTTGAAAAGTGTAACCCAAATTTTCATTTAAACTGTATAGTTTTATAGTCTTATTATAACAACAATACTTAACACTAATACATATCAAACAGGCAAATATATGAGTTTAGTGTATTCATTCTTTTAGACTATCAAGTGACTATCAGTCCTTTTTTAAGTTCATTACGTCGACAACAATAATAACAACCAAAAATCATTTATAATGTTTATAGAAAACTCCTATAATGAACGTGAGTACTATATATACTCTAGGTAATGTTAGCATTACGTAACAACATTGTTAATCCTCTATTTTCAAAGCGAAGAAGAAACCACATATTTCAACCATAAAGGCACTGAATTTTATGATAATTATTAGACCTAAAGTCAATATAGCGAAATTCAATTTATACTGTGTTGTTGTTATTCTAACCCGCAAGAATCTCATTGTATAGTCGTTTTTGGGAGTGTTTAGCAGTTGCTTTGTCGAACTCGACGAGTGGTGTCGGAATGTAGACCCGGCCGTTCTTAATGTCAATATATCCTATCATCCTGATTTGGTGATTTTTTATCATTATTGATCATTTATAGTCAATAATAGTACTTTAGAGCACGATACAAGTTGGTTAGTAAGAATTATTCGAAACAGAGTTGCACTCCAATTTTTTTAAAAAGGGAACGTAAATGGAAATCATTTTTTTAAACTTTTTTTTTAAACTTGTCACGAATATTATTAAAATATTATATTATTATTATTAAAATATTAATATTATTTTATAAATCTGTCCGAGTAAATGGCTAAAAAGTAATTATTATTTATTTATTAACTTTGGCTAGTCTAAGCTTAATATATTCATTGGGACATAATCCCTTGTAGAACTCGCTTACTAGAAAATGAACAGTTGCTTTTGTTATAGACTATTACATATCAACGGTTGTAATAGAAAGTATCTTAAGTTTTCTAATGTTTTCTTGAGTACTCGTACTTTCGATTTTTTTCTTTTTCTTCGCTTTGTTGTCAAAGAAATTTTAATATATATAATAATATATATTTATATGCCTCTGAATCTGAATCTGACTGGAAAATATTATCAAATGAATTATTCATTGAAAAAAGACGATAGATAAGAAATAAATAATTTTTGCTAAAATATCAAGTCTTAGCTAATATTCTGAAAATTTTCTGTATGGTCCTGATCTCTCATGCAACAAAAAATGATCAATTTGACATTAGTTTGCACTGCCAAGTTATGTAAAACTACATTTGAACTGTAACCTCAAAAATTTTAAAATTAAGTATAAACAAAATCTTATCTCTCTCGACTTAATAATTAAAGCACATCATATGACCAAAAATATATAAATGTATGTAATATATGCTATATATGTATAGAAAGTATAAAATCTAGTCATTTAGTGCTTAATTTATTATTTGTACTCTATATATATTATACTATTGTGAATAGAGAGTGAGGTAGGCCATATATATTTCTGTTACTAATATAATTGTTTGATCAGCATGACAATCAATTTTTTTTTTTCTGTCTTTGCTTGTTCTTAACACTCTCGTGCCGATTTATCAGGGGTCGTACTATTGAATATGTTTGATCAGCATGACACGATGAATTGATACAGTGATGTATGTCTATCTATGCTTCTATTATTATGCAAGATAGACTCTCAGTTTTTGAGCTAATCAGTTTTGCACATCAAGTAGACAAACATAATCCTAAGAAAGTTCTTGCAAGTATAGTTAAAACATCAGCGAAGTCACATATCTCGATAGATTTGGTAAATATTCTCAATGAGTAATCAATATCTTTATATATAGAATTAAAAACCAGGTGATATACTTAAGTGCATCACCTATTTTCTGGTATTAGAATTTTCTGGTATTGTTTTTGGTATTAGAACTTTCGATTAATTTTCTGTTATTGTTAGACTGACAAGTGCTGCGAGTTTTACTGTTAGATTCTGCATTCGTAAACTAAATTCGGTTTTTTTTTGTCTATACTGTCAAATGTTTTCCGGAAATCTATATATAATCTGTGTACAGGTTGGTTTCATAAAAAATGTATAAACTTTTTCGTAAATTTAGCCAATTATAAAGTTTTGATCGGCTATTGTATTGCTGCTCCAAAATCGCATTGTTATTCGCGGGTTACTTCATCCGCAAAGACATCCACATCCAAAATATATTTTCTGGAAGGAAGGAAGATTTTAGTACGTTGTTAATATTGTATTTTCTGAATTTTACGTGTCAGTAAGCTTAAGGTCATGTTGCTATAACTTCTATAACTTAAGTTAGTTATAATTTTTAATTACGTTATAACTTGATTAATAAATAAACAAATAAATTTTCTAGAAAAAAATATTATAATTTAAATGTGGAAAAATTGATTCGTAACGTAACTATTTGTGTGATTTTCTTTTCTTGTTTTTTATAAAATTTTACTTTGTTGTTTTAGAAATAATACCAACATATTTAATGAATAATAATTTATTTATCTATTTTTTTTTTTAGTTTTGTTAATTTATTAATTTGTTCTATAACTTTTTAATTTTATTGCGCAATAACACAAGCCAATAGTTGAAAAAATTAACTCAACTTAGAACACCAATAAAAAACGATCTATCTTCAAATGAGTTTATATCAAAGAGTATTAATATTAATATTGAATATACTCTTTGGTTTGCTAACACTTTTCACTTTTGTTGCTAATTAAGTGAGCGCACAAAAGTCTGAGGCGTTATGTTTCAAACCAATGACAGGATGACGTCACACCGTTCTAGTACTGATTACTTATCGTAATGTTTATTTTTGTTTTCGCTCAATATTATTCCACTCAAGTTTGCCGAGGTGGCATGTGTGTGTGTTAGTGCAGAAAATATAAATCTTTTTTTTTGTATGAATAATTCATAAAAACAGTTTTATTTTGAGTGGATTAAAGAACAACACGCAGCCACGCAGCTTACCTTTGCATTTTAACAGCAACAAAAAGTTGTACAATAAAAAAAGCAAAATAAAACATAAACACAAATTGTAATATTAACAAGTGTCAGTGGTGAATTTTACATGTGGTGGTGGATGTATGACAGCGCGGGGAGGTTGTAAACTTGAATTCTTCATTGATTTAAAATGAATTAAATTGCAAGCAGAAAAGAATTAAGAAGAAGATAACAGTGCTTTTCTTTATTTACTCGGGTCTCTGCTGCTTATTCTTGTAAAACAATGTGGTGTGTGGTGTGTGCTTTTTAATTAATTGAGTTTTTTTAATGGTGAGTAAATGATTGTGCGACGCTCATGCCGCAGACATTTTCCGTGCGCTGTTTACTATTTTTAATTGCTGAGTCATTTGATTACAGAGCAAAGTGACAAAATTGGTTTCATTTTAATTTAATTTAATTTATTTTGCAATAGTGTGTTTGAGCGCTAAATTATTTTGGGCGGTGGAGGTAGAAGGTGGTGTTCTTTGAAAACTTAGTTTTAGTATTCAATAAAATAGTAAATAAAATTAACATTTTTTTTTAAATCAATAATGTGTCAAAAATTAAATGATTACGATTATTTGGATGTGCAGGTACGAAATCAATAATTAAGGGTTCACATTAGAACTTTATTATTATTATTTTTTTTTTGAATTAAAAATAATTAATAATGTACTATTAATTATGTATGACATTGCCTGCCACCATGTATTAGTAAAATACTAAGTATATAAAATTGAAAGAAATATGGAATTTGCACCGCACGCGATTTTGGGGAAAAAAATCATAAATAAAAACAATATAAGTGAAGTGATAAGAAGCAGCAGAAGTGCTGCGCTCACAATGCTTAGCGCAACAAATACAACAACAATAGTTCAAAAAAATATTTGGTAATTTTTTACTTTACTTTGGTTATCAACAATGGCAGGCAGGCAGGCAAACTCAACTTTTTTCTGCTGAGTAATCAGAAATTAAGTGTTGAGACTTTTTAGTGCTGCGCGCTGAACTATGCAGACTATGGAGACGTGCTAATACTCTCGTAACATATGAAAGAGTTTCCTTTGTTTCCCCGAAAAATATTTTAATGTTTCTCATTTTAAATTTGTAAAAAAAAATTGTTTATTGAAAATAAAAAAAAGCTATAAATAATGATTTTTTTCCTTTCAAATAGATTTTTGCCGCATGGTAGACATCAATAATAGCACAAGTAACAATTCATCAGTGTTAGGATTAGCCAGTGGGCACACAAGCACTGGTGGTGGTAGTGGCACAAATAGTCTTTCTATGAACGGTGTAACAAATTCTGCTGGTAGCGGTATGACTACAGATTTGATCAATCAAGGAGGACAAGTTGGTGATCGTCTGGATGCTTCAAGTGATAGTGCAGTTAGTTCAATGGGTTCTGAGCGAGTACCATCGCTTTCCGATGGCGAATGGGGTGAAGGCAGTGATTCCGCACAAGATTATCATCAGGGTAAATATGGTGGACCATACGATTATAGTTATAGTAACAATAATCGCTTAAATGATGGCACACGCCAACCACCTGTAGCACAGAAGAAACATCAAATGTTTGGTAAGCGTTATATGCATGACCAACCTAGCATTACAGGCGCAACAGCTGGTGTCAACAGTACTGCACCTGTTAATGGCATGACGCCTTCCAATCCACTATTACATGGTCCTGCACAATCAATTAAGTATGAGTATGAACCATACACGGCAACAGGATTGCATCAAAATTCAAATGGCATTGGGCTAGGAGAAGGTGCAATGGTACCTGTTTTAAATAAAGATCAACAGACATATGATATGAAATATTCAAATGGCACTTTAGGTACCTATTCCATAGATTATTCAATACGTCAACCGCGTACAACGCAAGAAATTGTACATCACAATCATTCGTACACATTGCCACAAGGAACAGGTTCTTTGCCACGTCCACAATTGCGTGACAAGAAGTTGTCAACCTCTTCGTCATCTATAAAGAGTTCTAAATCAGTATCAAGCAGTGAAGATGAGCATTTAACACGTGATGAGAAGCGTGCACGTGCACTTAACATACCCATTGCCGTAATTGACATAATAAACTTACCTATGGATGAATTCAATGAGCGTCTCTCCAAATATGATCTTACTGAAAATCAACTATCACTAATTCGTGATATTCGAAGAAGAGGAAAAAATAAGGTTGCTGCACAAAATTGTCGCAAACGCAAACTAGATCAGATTGTATCGCTTGAAGATGAAGTTAAAGAAGTACGCAAACGCAAAGATGAACTACAAAGTGATCTGGAAGGATTGTCTTCAGCACGTAAACATATTTCAAATAAATTCGCTGCTTTACATAGACATATCTTCCAAGTAAGTCATAACAATTAGTCTTAACATATCTTCATAATATATCTTCAAACTTAAGACAAATATATATAATGATGAAATTTTATTTTCAGTACTTACGTGATTCCGAAGGTAATCCATGCTCTCCTTCAGAATATAGTTTGCAACAAGCAGCAGATGGTTCTATATTCCTGTTACCACGTGATAGCAGCAATAAAACTGATGCTGTAAATGGTATTGCTGCTACATCGTCAAACAATAATAACAGTAACAATAGTATAAATGGTGGTGGACACCTTAACAATTCAACAACAACACCTTTACAACATCCACATGTGCAAGTTGCTGCAACGCATCAACAACACAGTCATCAACACAATCATAACTTAACACAACCACTTTCTCATCATTCAGTACAACTACAGCATCAACAGCAGCAACAACAACAACAGCAGCAGCAGCAACATCATCAACATGCACATCACCATCATCAGTCACATCGAAAAGATTGAAAACTACTGCTACACTGTACGAATTGGTTAAACATGCGTAATAGTCATCATTTCAACTATCATCAGCAATTCTACCAGTACCAACACCGATATCGACATTCGCACCAACAGCAGATTTAGCATTACTCCCCTCTGGCACAAACAAGTTTGGTATCATCATAGTCAACGACCAACAGCGATTGCACAAATAATAAAAAACAAAAAGAGAATTTTTGATTTTAATAAATTGAAAAATTATTTAAAAACAATTCTTGGGAGAAGGATAAATTTTTTTAAAATAATTTTTAAATGTAAATGTCTACGAAAATGTGGGATGTGGTAACTAATTTATAACGTTGGTTTAAAAGTTTTTAGTATTGCTCATATATAGTTTCATAATTTTTCTCCTTGCATTCGTCGATTAATATTTTAATTTCTATATTAAATATAAAAAATTAAAAAACAAAACAAAAAAAAAAACATTTGAAAAGAGTGAATATTATTTTGCTATACATAAAATAATAAAAACAAAACTTGTGATACATTTAAGTACATAAAACTATATAAGTTAAGAATCTTCAATATTTAACAAACAATATACGCAATTTAATATCAGTTAAAACTATGTGAATTTGTGCATAAAGGGAAAATCGGAGGCAAATACTTGGATTTTATACAATATTATAACACAGTTTGTGTTAAATGATTTTCAATGTATGTACGATTATATATTAAATAAATTAAATGTAAAACACTGGAAAACTATCACAAAAATAATATGCAAAATTTTTTAAGTATATATTGTATTTATACATAATTTTGTTATATATACTTTACTTGTTTAAAAAAAATATCTGACTTTGTTGCTTTTGAATTATATAAATAACTTAGATATATATATAGTGTATAAGTGTAGTTAAGAATTAGATTGCTATATAAGTTAGGTTATAAATAAAATTAATATATAGATAAAGAGTTCAAATACAAATTGAATGTATATAGCATAATATTTTGTACATAAAACGCTAAATTTTTATTTTAATTAATTTTCTAAATGTTTTTCTTAGAACTAAAACCTAAAAAATACGTATTGCTTGAAAGGGGTGCATGGAAGTTATTTATTTAAACTTGTACTATAAAAAACAAATGGATTAGTACGTATAATATTCTTTGTGAAATATTTTTTTTTTGTTATATTAACTTATAAATAAACAATATTGAATAAGAATACAATAAATAATCTATTAAGGGCAAACGCTAGAATATGTATCCTAAATTAAAATAACATCATTGTATCGCTAATAAAAAGCTAAATAAAAAAAAACAATAAAATATATTCGTTATTCGGATAATGGCGACAGTTGCTTTGTATAAAGTCTTATATAAAATTTGCTGTTGTATACCTTTTAAACATTTTGAAATCAATATAAAAGCTAACTTTTTGTAAGTGATACTAAACGCTAAAGTATTTAATTAAATATTTTACGCATTAAAAAACATAAAGTAAGGTAAATATTTCGTCTAAATAAACAAACAAAATAATAAAAAATTTAAACAAGAAAAAGTAGCTGCGAATTCATAATTTTTGTTTAATGTAGTTTTAGTATTTTTCACTGAATTCCACGTTGTACATTTAATGAAAAAATTTGTGAGCTAATAACATTATTATAAACTTTTTTGTATGCTGCGGTAAAATATAATATAAGGCTAAGAAAACCTACAGAAAAATGTTTGATTGCTCTAAATTTTCATAAAACAATATCGTCATGATCATTATTTTTTAAAGTCTATAAACATGACATTAAAAATATTTCCATAAATAATCATTAGATTCTCGCTGTTGTTGATATAACCATCGTTCTCTTGTGCTTCTAAGAGATTAATATGCAGACATTACAGATTGAAAGCAAAAGTATTATGATAATTATCAATGTAGGTTTTGACAAGGTCAGAAGTAAAATAATTGGTAAATATATGTACAGTTAAACTGAAAAACTTTTATAGAAAACCTTTACAATATTCAAACTATGATCAACTTGATAATCGTGTTAAAGAAAATCAATTGCAAATATTGAAAATATATTTTTTAACGCAGGGGTGGTTAATGGAATGGTAGATACACATTTTGTGTATTTAGGTAGTTCTACTATCGTAATAATATTATAATTATACTTGAACATGGTTATCATTTATTAAAGATATTTTCTTGTTAAGAACAGTTTTTAGTCGTAGAACAGTTCTTGTTACAGTTCTTAGTCGTAAGTTAGAGTGATTATGTGATATATAGTTTTATTTTAGCTTAAATCGAACCCTTTAATAACGAACTTTTGACTAAACCAAACTAAATTACAAAATTTTTCCAAGAAGGGCCGGTTCTAAGTCGATCCAAACGACCAAGTGCCATTCAACATCCCCCAAAGGGATCACACGAGCAGGTATGTCTTCGTTTTTTATAACAACTATGAAATGTAGTAAATTTTAATAATTCTTTTATTTAAGCGTTCAATTAAAATAAACAATTTTTTCAATGCCTTTAACTTCGGTTTAATTGAAAAGTACTGTATATTTGTATAACGTTTTCCGTGGGGCTAGTGATTCCATATGTGTTGAATGACATTGTTTTTGTCTTGTAGCACTTGGATATATCATAAAGAACCAATATGTATATCTCCAGGATGGACATGTATACTTTGATCTAATAATTGCATGCTGATTATCAAGCAATAATTATTTGTTTTATATCAAGTAATTTCATATTTATTCGTTAAAAATGAAAATCATTTATATATATTTCTTTTAATGATAAAGTTTTATTTTAAAACCATTTTATTTTATACATTATAAAGAAAATATATTTTGAGTTCAATGAAAAAAAAAAATTACTGGTTGCCAAGATTTTTTGGCTGTTAGGAAATAATTCAAATATAATAAAACTTTCAAGGTATTTACATAATAATGACTTTATGTTTTGATGATAGAAGTGGTAATGTTTAATTTTTTTTTGATTTTGGTTCTGGCGGATCAATAAGATTTCCATGTCGTACAACATCAATATTCCCGAGACGAATCATTTTCTCCTCCCACGCAGAAATTTCCTGCCTAAAAAGACAGTATTTGATATAACATTTTCAAAGAGAATAAACAAATTAATTGAACTTACTTATACTTTACAAACTCCTTTCGAGATTCCTCCATATAGGAAGCCTTTTGCTCATCTGTAAATTGGGCCCATTTATCTGCACATTTCCTATGCCAATCACGATACGACTCAGTTGGATGTTGTGGCGTTCGGATACGTTCTTTGGAAAGAAATTTTAAAAATGCTGAACCCGGTCTCTTAGGTCTACCAAGTTGCTTTATACGTTTACGTATAACTCTGCGCTCTTTTTCATCTTTAATGTCTTGTTTTAATTGTTTCATTTCAGCGCGTTGTTCTTCAGTTAATTTGGCATTGTACTTGGTGCATGTTTCAATATACTTTTCTTGTTCACGTTTATACTCGGCTTGCATTCGTTCCTTTTCTTTGAGGTCAACAGTCTCCCATTTCTTGGATACCAATCGCACTATGTCAGGTGTGGATAACTTTGGATTTTCAGCTGTTAATTTAGGACGCACATCTTTCATATAACGAAAGTAGGGCGTCAGTGGTTTTTTTGGTCGGGCTGGCAAACCCATCCGCTCTTCAATAGTTTTTAACACTGGAGCGGTGGTACTTATGTTAGCGGCGATAATTGGTCTATTTATGCAAGTCGAATTGGAAGTTGATGTGTTTACGGGTATTGTGGATGATGAAGTGGGAGTATTTAAGTGGTTGTTGTTGTTATTAATTTGGTTCTTTGATGATAAAATTTTTGACACTTGCCTGCATTTGTTCACCAGTGAACCAAAAAAGCTTCCTTTAGAGAGAATAGGTGCTGTTATAAGCATTTTACCAATTTGTTTACTATATCTATAAAAACACTAAAAATATGTAAATATGTACGTAAATTTTTATTTATAACTCTGTTCTAAACTTTTATATAAGGAAACGCGGTAAATAGTAAATGACAGCCACAAACTGAATGCACATTGGGTACGTTCCATCAAAGAAAATATTCAGAATTTAATATATGAAAATATGTTTACTAAACAAATGTCAATATTTCATGAGAATTTGTAAAATTTATTGTCATAATAGTATATTAACTAGGTAAATTGATAATTAAATTAGATATATTAATGTCTTAAATAATATATTTTGAAGCTTTAGGTCATAGTTTTAGTTATATTGAAATCTCACCTTTAGCAAATTGACTGTACATAACCTTGAATTCAAGTGATAACAGCTGATTCTTACATTATTGTCAACACAGCACTTTTTAAAAATAAAACCAAGTACAAAATGACAAACGAGCAGCCATGCAGTTCAAAATCGCAACAAATTAATAAAGGAAATCTTGAAATTAAAGAAAAGCTGCGCGTTCTTTGTTTACATGGTTATCGGCAGAACGGCGATGCCTTTAAGAGCAAGTTAGGTTCTTTTCGAAAGCATGTTGGAAAGTATGCCGACTTTGTATTCATTGCTGCGCCACATCTCGCGGCAGCATTGGAAATGAGTCCTGATAACACACAAGAAGACCAACGTAGTTGGTGGGCTAACAAAGACGATGGTTCCTTTAAGGGTACAAATAAGAATGGTCCAGCAATTGGTTTTCAACAAAGCTTGCGTTTAGTGGAAGAGACATGGACTAATCAGGGTCCTTTTCAAGGACTTTTAGGCTTCTCACAGGGTGCATGCTTTGTGGGATTAATATGTGGTTTAGCAAAAAAGAAATGTAAAAATAAATCTATATAATTATTGCAAAAAATTTTAATTGAATATTTTTGTAGTAACATCTATAAAGCCGGAATTTGCCGTACTTTCATCCGGATTTCTTTCTGGTAGCCTTGTACATAAAAGTGCCTATGAAGAATTGATATCTATTCCATCATTACACATATTTGGCTCAACGGATGAAATTATTCCAAAACAAATGAGCGAAGAATTAGCAAAGCATTTTAAAAATCCTGAAATATTAGTGCATAATGGCGGACATTACTTCCCTGCGACAGCGCAACAGAAGCAGTCATATATATTTTTCTTCCAAGATCGTCTGCAAGAGTATTTAGAAAGTATGGAGATTCAAAATGCAGCAAGTGTTAATTTTATTGAAAATCAAGAAATAGATGCGGGATCTATCACCAGCAGTAACACTGATAGCGTATCATAGCTGGTAGTTCCAAAATCATAATTTAAGTAAGCTCATTCTTTATAAAAACAATCCGTAGTTCGAAATAACGATTTACAATACAATATTAATAAACTGTAAACATCGGAATTGTGAGTTTGTTAATTTATTTATTGCATTATATTTTCACTTGAATTTAGATAATGCTGTCGTCGCATTAGCGTTGGTAGTTTATTAAGGCAATTGTTTTAAATTACCTATTTTTATTTTGTCTTAAAATGAGAAATCTTAGTGAAAATAAAATTTTTATGTCCTTATACCGTATAATTATTTTCTAATCATTTTTATTTGTAGTAAAATAATTTATTCCGCGGTTAAAAAATAAAATAAAAGATACTTCACTTGATTAAAATTTAGTTTTTTTTTTTAACAAATTGGCAAAATAAAACTAAATTAACATAAACAAAAAATGTCGTTTAATAAATTCATGAACTTCAAATAGTTACTATAAAAAATTTTAGTTTTTTAAGTTTTAACTAAATTTAAGTATTTTTCTTATGCTCGAGTCATTACAAATGATCTCTTAAAATAAAACAGGATAGAAAAAAATAACTTTTAAAACGAATTTGATTTGAATCAACTGTTCTCGTTTTCCTAAGACTCTTGTCCGAAGGTTATATCCTATGCAACCTGTTCCTGTCCATTCGCCGCGTCCTGATTTTTCATAACTTCTGGTAGATCTGGAGGAGATGAATATGGAGTGATCTCGAGCGGTTCAAAGTTTCCCGACTCACTTCTAGAATAAAATAAAATGTAAACTTTATATTTATTTGTAAATAATAGGAGTTTCTATTAATAATTGTTAAAACAGATATCAAGAACATATAAGCACATATTGTTACGTTTAGAATTTTTGAAAACAGACTATTCAAAACTATGAAATTTATTTCTGAAAAGGTTATTCATTTATTTAAGAACATCGCTTTTGAGCAAATATATAATTTCAAGGGTAAATAAAGGGTATTAAAATTCCATAATGTAGTGATCATTTGGGTCAAAATAATATTGTGGAATTTTTTTAACTCGAGATTATAAAACAAAAAATATATAACAACATAAGAACGTTTTATTTGGAAACAACATTGTAGTCATCACTTTGAACTAAATAATGTTATATATTTTGAATAGTGACCTTCTCCATGTGCTCTTGTTAAAGCTAGCAAGCTTTGCACATTACATTCAGGGTTAAAGCATTTACAATATTTTTCTTATTTGTTTTGTGTTTTCAAATATTATTCTCAGTTATAAACTAATTTTTCGTAATTCATATGTAATATAATAATGTTTAATTTTACCTAATTGCGAGTCCCAGTTGTGCTGGCGCCTGTGCTTTCGCGGAAGCCATTGTTATTCCGTAGTGTTGTAACGGGTTGTCGTCGAGCATTTCTTCGTTTTCTTGATTAAATAATTGTTGATCTTGAGTTTTTACTTTTAATATGCCTACGAAAACATTTAATTGTTTTTAAGTTTTTATTTGCAAAATGTATTAAGAAAACTGCCATCACAAACCTTCAATCATGCGTTTTAGTTCTTTTACCGATGTATTTTCTTTGGCATCCGTAAAGATTGTGGTTTTTTGTCTTCGAATCATTAAAAAAACATCCTGTTAACATAAAATAATTTATTATTTATATTTGTAATCGACTTATTAACAGCTTAATTTTAGATCAAAGTTCATTTTAAAATAATGACTAGCAGCTGATTTCTTCACGTTATATTTTAATGACGAAGTCACTATCTTTCAATAACATTATTATTGTTATTATAGAATCACATTTCTATAATAAAATTGAAGCCATTTCTTACCATATTAGTTAGACGAATCTATTATAGATTGGTTCGTTAATATGTCAGCTTCCTTGTGAGTGATTAAATTATGGTAATTGCTGCCTTGCGTTGCCTTGCCACTCCTACACTACAAACAATTACCTTTCACGCACAATTTCGGAATAATTATTTTTGCAATATATTCAAAAATTCACTTTTTGTTTTTATATTAAATATATTAAAATTAAGCACAAGCTTTATTCTCTCTTTTATTCTTTATTTTCTGGAGCGGTAAATTGATAGTAATGCCGAAAAATTGACATTCGCATGTATGAGATATGCGCGTTTTGGTTTGCATGGACGCTTGACTAGTATCCACATCACAGAGCATATCAATCAGCTGTTACCATTTTATACAGGGCACTTGCGAAATTATGAATTAGATAATTTGGTCATGTTTTTCTTTTTGAATTATTAAAGCAGCAAATATTTAGCTGTTTGCTTATTTTAATGAATTAAGATTATTTTCCTTTAAATCAATTGAATTTTAAAATATACTAAGGACGTGTGCGAGTTAGGCTAAGTTGCGTTCTAAGTGAGGGAAATTCTAAGTTGTGCCGATAATGTAGTGATGTGTCGATAAGTGTTGATAAATGGTTAAATGTGTGCAGTGCAAAAAATCCCAAAAAATCTCCCATTTGGTTTAGCAACAACTTAGCCTAATTTGCACACGTCATTAATGTCTTTAATAATTTAGACAGATTATACATCTGTCTATGGAATCTGTCTATGCTATGGAAAATATATAAAAAAATAATAAAAAAAAACAAAAAAAAACTAATGCATTTTTTTTATTTTACATTATATTTCGTGTTTATATATGGGAAATTAAATATGTATATATATATTTATCTATAAACTAAGGCCATGAGGGAGTTCGAGTAAATTGAGGTAAAATAAATTAAAATTGCCTAGTGATTTTTTGCACTGCACTTATGTAAATATTTATTTATTTATTTATTGCACTTATTATTTTTGGTTAAAAGTTCTTAAATTTATTTATTTATTTATTAAACATCTTATAAAATTTGCACAATGGTAACACCTAATTTACCCTACTCGTAATTCTAGTAAATACCAACATTCGCTGCCATACCGACATAATATACTATTTCCCTCAATTTACTTGAACTCGCACATGGCCGATTTGTTATATAATATAAATTCTCTGAGGAAAAAATTCTGTGAGTTAATTCAGCAAAGAAAAACTTTGAAATTCTTAATTTAATTTTATTATCCTATTGATGGATTTAATTTAGTCACGTGGATTTTAAAAGTTATTTTAAATATTTTAAAATTTATTTTAATATACATATTTAAAAACCTATTTTACCTAATATTTATGCATTCGTTCCATATAAATAAAATTTTATAATTGGCGACATCAAAATGGAAAACTAAGACATAAAATATGTATATATATACCCATATGTATATATATATATATATATATATATTTATATGATATAACTAAAAACAAATTCGTAGGTGTTAAAAATGATTTTTATATTATCGCTGATTAGCTCCATGAGCTAAATAACTAATAATATTCTATAAGCAGAATATAACTTATAATTCACAGTTTAACTTATCACAACTATTTAACAGTTTCTTGAAACGAAAAGAAACCATTTAAATACTATAAACACGTATTTTAAATTCTACCAAGCAGGTTAAAATATATGTCATTAAAGGTTTCTGTCAACCCATGTCAAACCTTCTATGTTTCTATTTTCTAATTTGTTTTTTTGGTTCTGTGTACCGGAATTTATTAGTTTTCAGATTATGCTTCTAATATTCATCTTAGGTTGCAGCAAACAAGTTTGTAATGAAATTTTAGGCGTTCTCAAAAATTATCGTTGGATAATAAATAAACTATAAAAGCCTAGTGTAAAAAGGACTCCATATAAAGCAAAATAAGATTTTTGATTAAATATGTTATTTATTTAATATGTAATTGATTTTTTGTTATGATTTCTAATTAATTTTTAAAGTCAATTATCTTTACTGAATACCTAGTTTCAGTTAAGAATCAGTGTCTTTGTAAGTTAATCCTACCCAATAGAGTTCAAACGTGGGTCTGTTAAAAATCTAACAAAACTGTTATTATGCTAATACCTACATATATTGAACCTCATTTCGTAAGATATTGAAAGAGAAATTTTATTATTTCAGGACATTTGTCGAATTAATTGTGGTGGCGTGAAGGTACTGAAGGAAGATAATATTAGAGCATAGAATAAATGAGAAAGCGCATAGAACTCATTCGAAATTTTTAAAACTTTATATAATTTTAGATTCTTCATCCTACTTGCTAATAATATATTTTTACTTAATATGCACGGACACGCCCTAGGTTAAATTCTATAAATTCCACTATATGTATATAAATAAATCAAAGTAAGCTCTGCAAAATGAACTGCTTATAGAACACAAATCAAAAAGATATCTATTATATATATATTATATAATATATATATACAAAAATTAGCTCAAAATGATCCAGTACTACAAAATGTGTTGAATGTTATTGTATTTCATACCTCATATCAGAGACTTAGGTTCGGAAGGCGAGTGCTGACCGTTGTCAGCACTTCCACTCAGAGGCATATATTGCCCATTGTGATGCCCTCCAAAAATTTTGCCGGGAGAGTCGAGTTGCTAACCTTTGTAATCCTTGTTAAACCATTTGGTTTTCTAGATGAAGTTGAGGAGATCCGATAAGTTTGCTTTCGTTCCAAGCCAATGAAAAAGCGATCCCCGAAACATTGAAGTCGCCTTGTCTGAAGTCTTGGACAGAGACAAAGGAAATGGTTGATAGATTCTATGTCCTCTTCATCTTGGCAACTCCTGCATAATCTGCTTGTTGGAATTCGCTACCGTTGGAGAATAAGTGCAATAACACAGCGAAATTCAAATCACAAGTATATTTTATTTACGTTTATTTTTAAAAATACAAAATAGATATCATTCTATATATCGATTCGGACTTTAGATTGAAAGTTGTTTTTATTTAAAGAGTTTTTAGAATTGCGTCGTGTGTAATGTTATGTAGTGTATTGTGTCATCAATATATTTTACGATCCTTTCCAGTTTTACATCAATTTATTCACACTTCGAATTTGACTACACTTTGTTTTTAGTATTCCTTGTATATAATGAGCATATTTGTTATTTTATAATAATAATTGGATGATATTTATATGGTCTAATCTCCATATAAAGAATAGACCATATAAATATCATCCAATTCAGTTCAACAGTTTAAGAGAAAATTATTTTTTTGCTACTGTTTTTTATTGTAATCACAGTAAATATTGACTCTAAGTAGGAATATCATAGCCTGTAAAAGTACCGCTTATAGAAAGATTATGTAGTATAAATATTATGTAGATCTCCATATAAAGAAGACGAACATAACCTAAAACATTCAATTTCAATTTAAAGTCGATGTTTAGGGTTTCCATAACACTACCGATTTTTTATATTCCAAATTTCTCTTCATCTGCTGAACTTTATTGTGAATTTAATATAAAATTAAATAAAAATCCATATTTTAAATAATACTTAATTATACAAAGGTGAACTAATCGATTGCAGGATAACGAAGGAAAAATTTACACTATCCGAATCCAAGCACTTTCGTTAATAAAATCTGAAATTTAAGTGAACCAACTGGTAAAATAATAAAATTTCTATTTTAAAATGGACTCTGTTTTCCACGTGCAGTAGCTCCATTTTTGTTTATTTAACACGATTTTTGCAATAATTAACCTTATTTGCAAACATCTGCACTTCAATTTGTTTATTGCTCCACGAGAGCTGTTAAGATTTCCATTCTTTGTGAAAAGTGTAAATAAACAACAGGCACGCCCGCAAGTGCCAACTGCAAAGTTAGCTGCCATGAATAGGTCAGGTCAAGTGCCATTATGTCTCGCCACGCAAATAACAAAAAGTCCTTGCGAACCAGAAAATCAATACGAAAAATCGGAAGGCATTAAATTCAATTGTGTTATCCTTATTCAGTCAAGTATTTGATTAATAAATACAAAAACTTTGTAAGCAGCTTTGATTGATAAATATGAAAGTACAATTTCAGAGTTCAACCTGTCGATAAATAAACAACATTTATTGGTGCAAATGTAAAGGTCCTTTCAAGTGGGGTTCTTCGGGAATACTACACTTACATATTTGGTTTAAAAATGATTATCGTTATTGTGCTTTGCACTCATAACTTACCTATAATATTTTTAGTTAGAATATTTTGGTTAATATAAGAAATAACAAATTGATGAAAAGATATTACGAAGGAAAGAGAATCATTTACTGGAGCATTTAAGTCAGAGATTGGAAAGTGAACTTATGCCGTATTCGATTAGTAAATCTGGTTTAACTTTTTTAATCAAAATTCTAGCAAAATGTATAATACTGAAGATTAATTTTTATTACTTTAGATATTTTGCCAGAGTAGCAAGATTAACAAATTAAATTAACAACTGTTTTATCATCATCATCCGTGACTATACAGCCCATGTAGGACCTAAGCCTGTTTCACAACATCTTTGGATTCTTCTCTGTTTTTTTTTGCATTTGTTTTCAAATTTCTTTTGTTCATTTCTTTTAAATCCTGCTGCACACTGTTTTTCATTGTTTTTTTATTGGTCGACCTCTTCTACTGCTGGTTCCTACTTCGTTCTCATAAATCTTAAGCTGTACTCTCATATCTGGCATTCTTATCACATGTCCAACCCATCTTAAACATATATACTCGAAATATTACCCACAATCCAAATAATAAAGGACTAGTTAGTATCAAACCTATACAGTCGAAGTATTACACATTATATTGTAGTATTATAATGAAGTTCCCACTGGCTTAATCTGTGTTTTATTGAATTTTTTTTCGCGATCAAATTTAAGAATTTTGTGTAAACAGTTCAATAAATATATCCTTTAATGTTAGCGAATATAACTACAAAAGATGTCTCGCCACTATTTGTATTAACAGTGTACATCATATGTTCACGACTAAATATATTTATATAGCTTTTATTAAACACATCCGTTATGGTTTTTTATAGTATTAGCATGATACCTAATAGCACTAAAAGAAGCTATAAATCACAATTGATAGTTTACATTATACTTTAGGAACCTGTTCACTATTCTAATAATTGTCATTTTAAAATTTTTATTATTGTGTCTTTAACGTAAAAATTTAATATTATATACGATAGTAGTAAAATGTTAAAATAAATAGCTTTAACAGGACAAAG